GGCTGTACAGTTGTGGCAGCAACAACACACTGTGAGCGTGTGCACGCTTCTTGGGGGAAAGGTGAGGGAGTTGTGCCAAGTTCTCACCTGATTTTCTGCATCAACTTCCTTCTTTTTTCCGTGCAGGATCTGAAACAAACACTTCTTCTCCTCGAGTTTTTTCATTAAGTTTTGTTGCTACGAAGGAAGAGGGTTACTTGGTAAACCGTGAGAAACTGGCAAATAAAATGATCACAGCTCCAAGCACTGGAGCTGTAACATACTAGCTGCCTCCTGCTGCATTTATTACCAAAAATCAAACTTTCACTTTCAATGGCAGTCTTACCATTTCATAGTTTTTCACCTAGGATATCTCCATGTCACCACTCTCTTATGCTCTGTATTTTCGTTACACACATGCCCTCTGAAGGGGACGCAGACAGGTCAAACAAAGAGGGAGGTTGAAGAAAAGGAACAAAGAAACTCCTATAGCTGAAAAATCCACCCTGGTGGGCGAGAGCTATCCAAGCCTGCCACGTTTCCTGGTGCTGTGAGACGGTGGACAGCCAGCACATCCTTATGAATTAATCTTGTAGCTGACTCTTGAATTAAATCAGTACATTAGATAAGCTAGAGTCCTTGGGGATTCTGCAGCCATTCTCAAAGTACCACTTTAAGAATCCCCAACGTTGGGCATCACAGCAGAGGTAATCACATCATCTATTTTAGGCACCCAATTTTCAATGCCAAAGTTGGAGTAGAGCCTCCAAAAGCTTCCTGAGTAGCACAGAGAGAGAGAGAAGCACCTTTAGAAGGTCACTCAGGGCAACAGGCTAAAGATGATGTGATGGCCTCAGCCACTGCCAAGGATGGTTTCTTCAGCAGAAAGAAATGCCACAGCATGCTGCCCTTTTCTTTTATATCCTGCAGATTCCTTCAAGGAGTGATTTCCCATGCTGAGGTTTGTGGAATACTTCTCTAAGGTCTGCAGAAGTTACCTAAGAAAAGCAAGCCTTTTGTCCACAAACTTTGATTTGTTATACATACAGTTGTCTGCAACATCACAGGGAAACTGTGATGGTTCTGCAAGTCGAAAGAAGGCGGAAAACAGCGCTGCCAGTGACTCTCAGCTCCCCGGCACAGGTTCCAGCAAATTCCATACAATATAGCAGAGCCCTGTGCCCAACACTCTTGGGACCATCTCCCCAGCTGCATCCCCAGAAATGCTGGGCACCTGCTCATTCTGCAGACAGTGGGATGGGCAAAGTGACAGTTTGGCCTTCGACCCCTTCAAGCATTCCATGCAATGTTCAACCTCCTTATTTTGCTCCTTCTGCACAGAAATCCTGGATTTTCACAAGCAGAGTTGCAAAGGGGTGTCAGAGAAGGATGTGACAGAACAGAAACTTTGTATTGTTTACAGCTTATCTTGGTTCATTCCGAGCATATTGCATCTGTTGTATTGATTATTAAATGCTAAATTTAGAATCATAGAATCACAGAATGGTTTGGGTTGGAAGGGACCTCAAAGATCATCCAGTTCCAACCCCCCCTGCCATGGGCAGGGACACCTTCCACTACAGCAGGTTGCTCAAAGCCTCATCCAACCTGGCCTAAACCAACAACAACACGTTGATTGTTGTCAAATTCAATATTTGAGATATTGAAGATGAGAAAGAGATAAAAACATCGACAGAAAGACCAGCAAGGTCGCTGCTTCACACCAGTTACTAGTCAGCTTCCTGCTGGAGGCAAAATTAACAGCATATATCTGGGGAGATTTATAATAACTTGTTTTATTTACCCCTAAGTCCCAGTCTGGAAACAGCTTTGCTTAGATGCAACAATTTGCAATCAGCCAAATATCAACGCTGGATTCCCACTGATTTCCTTTATCCCTTGAGCTGACTCAAAAGACATCAGGACAGAGACTGAATTTTCCTGCTACAGAGAATCAGAATTACAATGTCTAGTCACACAGGCATTTCTTCCAAAACGAAGCCATAGTTTAGATAGGACAAGGGGAAATGGCTTTAAACGGAAAGAGGGCAGATTTAGATTAGATCTAGGGAAGAAATTCTTCCCTCTGAGGGTGCTGAGGCACTGGACCAGGCTGCCCAGAGAAGCTGTGGCTGCCCCATCCCTGGAAGTGTTCAGGGCCAGGTTGGATGAGGCTTTGGGCAACCTGGTGTAGTGGAGGGTGTCCTTGCCCATGGCAGGGGGGGTTGGAACTGGGTGATCTTTGAGGTCCCTTCCAACACTAACCATTCCATGATTCTACATCTGTACACTACAAGAATTTGTCAGATGGTGTGTCCAGAGGACCACCTGTGTAGACACCCACACCACCAGGGACATTTTCTATCATGGAATCCCCTATATTCTCAAAAGACTGAGCACTATTTGTACCCGCTCACTGCCAAGGATGCCTCAGCCCCTCTGCCCGGCTCCCCCAGCACCGCAAAACCCTGGGCAGGCTTTACCTCTTCAGTTCTTGCGCTGCGCAACTGGCGATTCTCTTCCTTCAAACTTTCAAGCTGCTCTGTCTTGTCATGGTCCACACGAGACAGGTTTTCCACTTCTTTTTTACAATTCAGCACTTGAGACTAGGGAGAAAGAAGGGTGGGCGGAAAGCGAAAATCGAACAGCTCCGGGTGAGGAGCACAGGCACCTTTTGCTGCAGAAAGCAAAGCTCCAGAACTCATGGCTGCTTCATTTATTTTTTTTTTTTCTGCAAATGTTTCCCATTAAAACCTTTGTAGAAACTGAGAATAGTTACATGGGGATATACTGGAGCTGATGTATTCATCAGAACCCAATATTTGTTCATACGTTCTTTGAGGAGCTTTCTAACGTGATGCTTCCAGTCTGGAGAGTCAGAGGATAAAGAGAAAAACCAGAAACTCTCTAGTCAGATGGATATCCCATTGTTCTGGGTCTCCCATGTCCAGACCTAACAACCAAGCTATTTCCAGTCCAGCTTCTCCTTTCACATACCTCCCAGCTAAAAGTCTTGTTTTCACCTAAATGTTGAACATAATTTTAGAATGTTTTTCAAAGCAGAAGTGTTTTCTGCTTGGATCCTTAGCTAGCAGGAGGCAAACAACAGTCTGATTTTGGCCAACTTAAAGAGCAGACAAAGGATTTTCGGGAATAAAATCCTTACAGTTTCTCTTAGCACATTCCCCTCTACCTTCCCTTCCAGAATACAGCTTTCTTGAGGTTTCCTGGAGGTCAAATGATATCAAAGTTTGACATTTTCCCACATAATCAAAACCAGAACTCATACACCACATATTTGCTCAAGATTGCTCGGTTCTCTGTCAGAGGCAAAGCAAAGCAAAAGAGGGTCGCTATATGTTTGCTACCTGCAGCTGCTCCATGTACTCCAGAGCTGTTTTCAGTTTGGTTTCCAGGTCTGCCTTGTCAGAGGTCACGTTCCGAATTTGCTCCTTGAGCCTACTCAGAACAAATCAAAACACACCGCACTGTCACGGACGGAAAATTCAGGCACAAAGGCAAGGTGCTTACAGGAAGCGCCGTTCGGAGATATGCTGTAAACACACTTACTGCTGCAGTTCTGCCTTTCTGCTGCCATCCAGCTCCTTTAGATCTTTATTTTCCTTTTCCAGGGAATTCAGCTCCAGCTTCAGTTTCTCTGTGTTGCTCCTTAGAGACTCTAATTTATTCTGCAGCTCCTGAAAATCACAGTGAGGTCGACAGGAGTTAAACGGGACCCAAGCAGTAGTCCTGCTCTGCACTGGAACTGCAAAATCCCTCAAATGCAACACTTGCAGGCAGCCCACCTGAAGAAGGAAAATCTCCCCTTTCCATCCTGACTACTGTTTCAGATCCCGTTTCATTTATATTAAGCCCTGATCAAAACTGAAGGAGAAAAATACACTGTGATTTCAGGACAGCCTACCAAACTTTTCCGAACGCTCCCCTTCCCACCTGTTCCTGACTCGTGTGTCTGAAGAGGTCTCTGGTTCAGCATTATTGTTCTTATCCCAGTAGAGGTGCTGCATGATTTGGTAAAGCATTAAATGGACAATATGGGGAGAAATAACTAATTTTCTCCTGGAAGCACCTAGTGGAACACGACCTGACTCAGTCCCGTTCTCTGTCAGAGGCAAAGCAAAGCAAAAGAGGGTCGCTATATGTTTGCTACCTGCAGCTGCTCCACGTGCTCCTGGGCTGTTTTCAGTTTGGTTTCCAGGTCTGCCTTGTCAGAGGTCACATTCTGAATTTGCTCCTTGAGCCTACTCAGAACAAATCAAAACACACCGCACTGTCACGGATGGAAAATTAAGGCACAAAGGCAAGGTGCTTACAGGAAGCGCCGTTCGGAGATATGCTGTAAACACACTTACTGCTGCAGTTCTGCCTTTCTGCTGCCATCCAGCTCCTTTAGATCTTTATTTTCCTTTTCCAGGGAATTCAGCTCCAGCTTCAGTTTCTGTGTGTCGATTCTTAGAGACTCTAAATTATTCTGCAGCTCCTGAAAATCACAGTGAAGTCGACAGGAGTTAAATGGGACCCAAGCAGCAGTCCTGCTCTGCACTGGAACTGCAAATTCCCTCAAATGCAACACTTCCAGGCAGCCCACCTGAAGAAGGAAAATCTCCCCTTTCCATCCTGACTACTGTTTCAGATCCTGTTTCATTTATAGTAAGCCCTGATCAAAACTGAAGGAGGAAAAGATGATGATACTGTGATTTCAGGACAGCCTACCAAACTTTTCCGAACTTTTCCCTTCCCACCTGTTCCTGACTCGCGTGTCTGAAGAGGTCTCTGGTTCAGTATTATTGTTCTTATCCCAGTAGAGGTGCTGTACGATTTGGTAAAGGATTAAATGGACAATATGGGGAGAAATGTCTTTAATTTTCTCCTGGAAGCACCCAGGGGAACAAGACCTGATTCAGTCCCACTTCATTTTTCAAGCTTAGAGCTTCTGACTTAATATATTAACTTTTTTGTTTACCTGTGTCTTTTTGAGCTCTTCCTGCAGATCTGTGTTTTGTTTCTGGAGACTTGCACAGCTTGCTTTCAGCTCCTCGTTTTCTTTACGCAAATTTTTGTTTTGTAGTTCGACCTCTTCCACTTCTCCCTGGCAAGCAACAAAGTTCTTTGGTCAGAACAGCAGAACTGAAAAGCTACATTCCAAATAGCACAGTGTGAAGAGCAAAGATGAGCTCTGCAAACGGGAATGTCGCGTACCTCCCCGTGCTTTCACTACTAGTGCAGACCAGACTGCTACTTCACTCTCCCAGTCTGTCCAAAGCTCACCATCACGCCAGCTCTTGAATATTGAGCACATTTGGAGATGCTCAATGCCTTCTGCGTCCGCGGAAGTCAGCAGAGGCAGAGGTCTGGGGCTTTTTCCAGTTTGTTAGATTAGGACCATGTGTGCAGTGTAGACATTAACAAAAGGGCTGCACACAAGACCCTGCAAAATAAGAGTGCTTGGCCTCACAGCACCTCAGTTATCGTCCATGTGCACGCTCTTACTCCCACCTAACGGGAGGCTGTTTCCAGGAAAATGACATTTTCATTTTCAAATATCCAAAGTGCCCTGAAACACTATGTACCAAGTAGCTCCCCATTACAAATTGCTCCCAAGCTAAGTGATACACGGAGGCAGAGAAACAAAAGGCTGCCCAAATTTGTGTGACAGATCAGTAGCAAAGCCAAAAATAGAATTCAAGTCTGATGAGTTCTAGCTTGGCATCCGATCTACCAGATCATGTCAGCAAGCATATGCCAATAAAAGCAGAGGCAGGAAAAAGCAGAGGGAGAAAGGACACATACCTGTGTGGTAACCACCAGGATATCATCCTCAGTCTCTGCTTTGAACTGGAAAGGCACGCTGGCTCCCCGCACCACACCATCCTGGTCGACGTAGCAGAACTGGTAGTCTTTGTCATCTTTTGGTAGGTAGTAAGCTTTGGACAAACACAACCACCCTGTCAGGTGCAGCTTATAAATTATTCGAGTCTCTTAACCACACAGCACAGAAAGTGAGAACCTCAGAAAACAGACGACCTCATTCATTATTGTTCCTGTACCATGAGCGATTCGGGGTGTCAGTGATAAGACCATAAACAAGATCACTTGGTCAGGATGGCAAGATTTAGCAGATTCAAAATGTTATGGCTTATTTGAAATGAGTTTCTCAAAGCATGGTCCTACAGATCTTCTGGAATTCCGAATACGGTGTTTATTAGTGGCAGCTTATTAGTCTGTGTGCACGTGCCTGTGACCCAAGCTCCCAGCTCACCTTTGAACTGGATCTGTTGCTGCGCGGCAGTATCATTGGGCAGAGGAGCCCAGATGAACGTGTAATATTCCCGTACTGTTTTCCATCCCACCTGCAACACCAAAATTGTTACACGGCATCACATGGAATCATAGAATCACAGAACGGTTTGGCTTGGAAAGGATCTCAAAGATCATCTAGTTCCAAACCCCCTGCCATGGGCAGGGACACCCTCCACTACACCAGGTGGCTCAAAGCCCCATCCAACCTGGCCTTGAACACTTCCAGGGATGGGGCAGCCACAGCTTCTCTGGGCAACCTGTGCCAGTGCCTCGCCACCCTCTGAGTGAAAAATTTCCTCCTTATATCCAATCTAAATCTCCCCTTTCAGTTCAAAGCCATCGCCCTGTGTCCTGTCACTCCACAGCCTTGTCCAAAGCCCCTCTCCAGCTTTCCTGTAGCCCCTTTAGGTGCTGGAAGGTCTCCCCGGAGCCTTCTCTTCTCCAGGCTGAACAGCCCCAACTCTCCCAGCCTGTCTCCAGAGCAGAGGTGCTCCAGCCCTCGGATCATCTTTGTGGCCTCCTCTGGACCCGCTCCAGCAGCTCCATGTCCTTCTTGTGTTGGGGACCCCAGAGCTGAACGCAGTATTCCAGGTGGGGTCTCACAAGTTCATGTCTATCCTATGGCAATGGCACTGTATTTCCACACAGATCAGTTCCTGTGAGGACTTTTCCATTGATATCTCGACTTCTAAGAGTTGTGGTCTATGCATGAAAGGACAATCAGTGTTTGATTGGCCTTAAGCTATTTGTTTCTGCCTGCTGCTGCCTTCTCATTTGGCACATCTGGTTCCACAGCAGTCACTTACCGGGAAGATGCCCACCCAGTCCTTCCCGCGAGGACCGATGTTCTGCGTAAGGGTATAACAACAGGTTACGTCTCTTCCAGGAACATAAAACTTCTCCACGTTGTTAAAGATGACCTGGGAGAAGTGGCAGCTGTCTAAGAGGACGGCAGAAGTAGGAGGCTCGTCTGAGGTCTCATCCATTGTGGAAGCCTACAAAGGAAAGAAGAAGGGGATTGTCTCATCTTCAGACAGACACATAGTTGTGCCCGTGAAGGGTACGAAGAGGCTTGTGAATGAGACAGCCATGAGGTCCAAAACCCGCTACGCACACCCTGAGATTTCTCAGCAAGGCACACGAGCTCGCTGGTGTCCCTGCCGCTGTGGCCAGGCTGCTCCTGACATCCGCAGCAGCTTGCAGATCCTCCTTAGCAGACACCTGTAAGGCTCTTCTCATCCCACCACTGCTTCCCAGCCACGGTGCCTGGTGTGCTGAGGCTGCCAGCGTGGCACAACAGCCTCTCTCCTGCGTGGGACCCCCGGAACCAGACCCACTGACTATCCTACAGATCTGCTACACGGAAGACACAGCGGTGCGTTGGAACAGGAGGAGCCTGTGTGTCTACTGGTGGGATCCCATGCTTCAAGACCCTGCTGGAACGCCGGCTGGCCCCACATGCTGCCTCCCGTCACGTTTTTCCATATGATTTGACACTCCAGGCATGCTCCCACTATATATAGTTAACGTGGGGGTGCACCAGCTCTCCTGAAATCTGGAGACTGGAACATCGCTTGAGAAGAACAGCTGCATCAGTGCAACGCTCCGACAGTAGTACAAGACAAAACCAGCTCCTGCAAGGAGCTCCAGGGCTCTACAGCCCCAGCCCAAACATGCTCCACCTTCCCTGGCTGACCGTGGTGAGACACACAAGACACACTCGTGCTGGTGACGAGCAAGCTCAACGGCCTCCTCCTCCTTCTGCATTCAAATCCAACGCCACAACTTGACCTCCCAATACAGCATCTTTCATCTTCAGCTTCCTGGCTCCAGGAGAAGTACCTTGCTAAGGTCAGCTGCCATGGAAGAGAAGACACAGAGGAGATCCTGCTTAGGCAGATGGTCATAGATCTGTCATGAGGCTACTAAAGCCTTGCTACTCGTGACTGCTACGCTGGAGCAGCGAATGACTCTCGGTATCGAAGATGCTGCATGACAGCAGGGCCAACAAAGACCATCAAAGTTTTTGCAGGAGTTATCTCCACAGGAGACTTTGCAGAGCGTTGTGACACTGCAAACCACAACAAATCTGTAGCGGGTGCAATATCGAAGCAGGATCCCAGCTGCCAGGAGCCCGGGCAGGACTGGAAGCCGGACACGGAATCGCCCTCTTTGCCACCATGTCTCGCGGGCAGCCAGGCTGCAGCCCTGGCAAGCTGCCGAGGGCCAGATCGCTGCCGAGAAACCCAGCCGCCCATCCCAGACAATGCCATTCCAAGAATCCAAGGCAGATCCTTCCCAGCTGATCCTAGCGACACCAGCAGTGAGCAAATATTGACTTCAGAACGGAGGGAAAGTTCATCGTAATAACCATCCCGCTAGAGCATTTCGGGTCATCCCCAATCCACAAGTTTCACATGGAAATGAGCTCTCTGGAACCCTGCTTTTTTTTTTTTTTTTTTTGGCATCACCCAGGGGGAGATGGTCTGTTTTCTGTGCTGAAGCACAGCCCAAAAATCAGGGATGGGGATTGCGGGGCTGTGCTTGGAAAGGAAAAGGTATCCACAGCTGGAAAAAAAAACCCTGCCCTGACACAGGCTGCCTCGGGAAGACGGAGAATTCCTCCTGCTGGGAGCGGAAAGCAGGGCAGATGGATGGATGTGGTGCAAAACTCCAGGAGAGCCAGGACTGCACTTTCACTTTCAGCTGTAGGAAATGGCGTGGGGTTCACCTAAGCCTCAGCCTTTAGCTGGCTGATGTCAAACCTTCCTGCTCTGATGCGCCTTTGTGGTTCCCAAACGGCACAGACCTCTTGACAGGGAAAGAAAAAAAAAGGGAAAAGAAATCTAAGGACAGCACCTTAACCATGTCACTGCACCGCTTGGGGACGGGACACGAGCCCTTGGTGCCACAAGGGTTAAACGTAACTCGCAAAGAAAATGAAGAGTCAGTGTCTGGATGCAGCAAAACAATGAAAAAAAAAACAACAACCCAACATAAAATGTTGGTTTTGGGGGAAATAATCGTGATCTGGAAGAAAACCAACCGCGCAGGGCGTGCCGACGGCAGAGTCTGTGGCTCACTTCCCGAAAAAGACGGCAGGAAGCGGAGGGAGGAGGAGGAGGTTTCGTTAATTTTCACATTTTTGTCCCAGGAACAACCGGCGAGATAATTATCACCGGGGGCAGAAGGGCCGGCGAGGCCGCTGGCCCGAAGCGACGGGGCCGGCCACTCCCGCGGGGGGGTGATGCCCGACGGGATAACGGGCGCGCACGGAGCGCAGCGGGATAAATTCCCTTTCTCCAGGGATTTCTTGGTTTTCCCCCTTTTCTTTCGCAGCGCCCTGAGGATGTGGAAAAACGCGGATTCCCCTTTTCCCAGTGAAACCAACTTCCCGCCGCCGTCCGACACCGGAGCGCCGGGTGCCGGGGGTTGGGGGAGGTCCTGGCTCCGGTCCCCGTGCGAGGAGTCCCGGCGGAGGAGGGGGAACACACCGGGACCTCCCCGCCCCGCAACCCGCCGCCGGGAAGCG